ACTTCTTTGTTTTGCAACGCCAAGTTTTGTAGTTGATTTTTTTTTTTTTTTTTTTTTATTCACATTGGGTTCCCCTAATGTTGTAAATTCCTGAAAAATCCACGGAGAGTGTTCCTAATCCTCTAGACATTTTCTTCTACGAAATATGTAGACTAGAAGACTTGCTCCCTGTATCTTGATATGCACTATTATCATGATTTTACACCACATCTTCAGCTTTGTCTTTTCCCCACATTCTTTTATATGAATTGCTAATCTATTTTCCTTATTGAAGCTTGTCAATGATTTATTAGAGTATTAGGTGTTTGTTTATCTGTAACATGGGAAAATTAATCAATTTTGTTTTGACATATGATGTTAATTAACCCTTTTAAACCATCTTTGTACGACTCATTGTGCTTGTGAAGCTTAGTATGGAGCTGATGTTATCTTATTGATTTATAAAAAGAGATTTTTTATTTTTTATTTTTATTTTTATCAGTTTTTAGTTTAGGTGTGCTCACGACAGGAAATGAAAATTTTACAATTCACTATCATGCCATGAATTTAGTGAATCTTGATGTTACCACACAGCTACATAGATTGTGATCTAATTGATATCATTTGACTATTTATTTTGAAAATTTCATGTAATTTAGAGTAACTCAAGTAGAGTAATGTCAATGTAATATATTGTTGGCTTGTTGTGTTTGACACTTTCATTTAATTGGATATTTTTGCTTTCATCTTACTGTTTTTGATATTTTGGTATTTATTTTTTATGGTTTGTTTGTTTTCGAAACATAACCTACTGCTATTTTTTGTATTGTAGGGTATAGATTCTATATATATGAACAATCAACCTCCGTTATTTCCGCCATCATCTACAGGAGATGGAAACACAAGTAATATTCGTGAAGAAAATTAAATACTGACGGTGGAGTTGTTGATAATAGGACATGGGCTACTTCCCATAATTTTTGAGTGAGTTTTTAATTCTAGTACATTCATCATTATCTCTTCAATATAATTTAATTATATTTTTAAAATATGAATTCTAACCAAATACAAATATATTTTATTTTGTAGTTCGGTTCTAGACTTGATTGGAATATAGGAAATATATTTAGATCAATTTTTTTTGGAGCAAGGATATTTATGAAGCAAGTTCCCCATAGCCAAAGAAACATATGGTTTCATATAAAGGTATATCTAATATTGACTTTGTTCAATTAACTATTTTATTATTGAATTTATTCTAATTATTAAATGTCAATAACATTTTTATAGGTGGGACTCTCAGTATGAATTTGAGATATGATTTATTTTTTAATAAAATTAATGGGTTATTAAGGCAAAATTTATGCTAAGCACGGAAAACTAATATATGTCCAAAAGTGATTATATTTGAAAATTGAGATAGAATGAAAGAGCAACGGTTATAAATAATATAAGGAGATGGTAGCTCGAAATAAATAACAAAAATAGAAAAAAAATCCGACAACAATTGCAAATCAATATCGTGGGGATGCTCGATCTGTTGGCCGTGTTCGAACGAGTATGGTAATATTTAATATCATATAGTTTAATAATATAAATTGCGTATTTCATACATATTTGAAAAAAAAAATTATTATATGTATCTTGCAGACCGACAAATTGGAACGTGCACTCTGATAGAAATAGAATTTTATCACCAAATTTTCTATTAAGTTGGTGCAGCTCTTGAAGTATAATTTGTTTATAATATATATTTTTTTCATATTAAATAATTGAATTTAGTAGTTTGTAAAATTTTAATTTTAAGGCAGAGCTACAAAAATCTTTTGAAAGTAGTTATACTTCTTATCGGGATAAAAGAAACTGTCAATGCATTTGGTGGTTTCAACACAAGAGGTCGTGCACAGGGCTTGGTTCAAGATGTGACAGACGTTCGTCACACGCTGCAAAATTTAATAAAAATAAATCTACTTATGCCATAAAAATAGCATAGTATAGATAAAGTAGGGTGGTCTCTACAGGTAATTAAAAAGGTTTTATTTTTTATTGTTTAATTTATAAATATAATAAAATGGAGGATTTTTTAAGTAGGAAATAAAAATAAAATAACAAATTAAAAACTCTACGACTAAAAGATAAATTTAATAAAAATAAGTTTCCAGACTATGAATAAAATTGACTTGGATAGTAGATTTGATCATCGATAAATATTTAATTTTATTGGTTTCTAAATAAATTAGTTATATTTGCCGACACGCGCCTAATAACCAACTCTTTTTAAATTTCTCGACAGTCAATGTACGCCCGTCAACTGCTTCCCTAGTTAGACTACAACCCGACGCCACAAAGAATTTACTATTCTAACCACCTTGCGAACTAGAAGAACCTAATTCAATATACCAATTACCTATGCAAAATTATTTAAAATTGCTTCTGTGATTTTCTAATGGTGTCTGACACTAGTTGCTATTTGAACCAAATTAAAACACAATTGCGATTGCGGACGCCTAATTTAGTTTAGCAATTAATCCTTAATCCAATTGAAATATCTAACTACAATATCCAACCAAATAAAATATTATAAAAAAATCAAAAACCATGAAAATACTTAGAAACCAAAGAAATATCATAAATCAAAATAAGTCTAATCTCTCGAATCCATATCAAGTTGTTTTTCACTCCTAAACTAGAAAAATAACTACTCGCTAATCACAGGAGGACGAACAAAAAAGAGCAAAGATATATGTCGTCTCCCCCTTCTTTCTTTCCTTTATATTTGTTGCTCTAATTTTGTAACAATCGGACTTTGAGCTTTTTTTTTCTTTCTAATTCTATCAATTTTATTATTTTTCTTTTCAAATCATAAATAAATAATATAGATCGCAAATAATATGAATATTTAACGCATGCGATTTATGGCTATCAAAAGGTAAAGTAAAGGTTCAACTTCGTCTTTCTTGTACACATGTCACAATAAACAATTACAAGCAACTAACGAAAGACTAGATCAAGTTTGTTTCTTTCTTATTATTATTATTTTAAAATATTATTGATATATTTCATTCTCGAATTTAAATAATTAAAAAAAATTAATTTTTTTTTATCGGTGATGAAATTTCTAGTTACAAATCCTAATTTTCTGAAGTTTAATAATTCTATTTTAACGAACTAGAGTCATATTATCCCAACCGGCTAATCCATTTGATCCTTATCAAATGCGTCAAAAAAAAATGGAAGTGGGAGTGGGAGTGGAAGTCGAATTCACCTAGTAGAAGTGGACACTATTATGACAATGAAGAAAATGACGACGATGATATTATTAGAATTTTTGTATATATATTTTTTTTACTCTGATGTAATTTTTGACATTAATATTAATTTGAATATGATTTTATTTTATTTATTTAAAATATAATTGAATTTAATTTTAAAATTAAAATATAATTATATGAATAATCAAGTTTTATTATTAAAAAAATTAAATAAAAATTAATTTAAAAAAGATTTTTAGTTCTAATGTAGCAGAAGACCGTGACAATGTAACAAGAAAATTGTTATATAGACAATTTCTAAAATTGCTATTAAAATTTGAAAGCCGCTATCTGAAAGTACGCAATGGATAGTACTGGGCTTAACCTAATGACCTCATGACTACAACTCCAACCCCTACACCAATACTACTAGGCCATTCCTTACTGGACTTGTTAACTTTTGCTTTTTAATATATAAAAAGTAGTATAGTTGGATAAGATAACAAAAAATATTGGCATATTTTGGCGTAACGGAAAGAACATAAATTTTAAATTAAAAATTTAAAATAAAAAATTATTGTATTTTTTACAACTTTATTTTATTTTTATATTTCAATATTATTAAAGTGAAAAAATTATTATTCCATTCATCTACAAATATATATTTTTTGAATTAGATACATATTTATGAATATAATATTATAATAATTGATTGCCATGTAATTAAAAATATTTTGTGGAACACAGAAGAAAAAGAAAAATAAAAATTAATAAAGTAAAAGAATTTTTTTTATAAATTAAATATACAACAAGTTGTGATATTCTTATAAATATATTTATATATATAAAAGTGTACAACACACAACCTAAATATGTATATATATATATATATTTCTATTATAAGTATATGCGGATCCGTAAGTCTCGACAGTTATTTCACTGTCTCTATTCTTCATTTTGATTTTCGCATTTTCAATACTCCATTAATTCTGTCTGTATCAAATTAAATTGCTACCAGAAAAGAAAAGAAACGAAGACGGAAATGGAATAGCGTTCTGGATTCCGCCTCCGACAGCCTCTTCCAACTTGTCATTGATTTCAATCCATCCCAAGGTCATTTTAATTTGTTCTTCGATTGCTAATAAAAATGATGCTGTGTTTGGCGAATTCGTACGGCTTTATGTGCTAATTATGAATTGTCGATAGGATTTACATCGTTCCTTTTGTTTCGATGATATCTGATTTCCGTTGTTGAATTGCGCTCTGTTGTGTTCTGTGCATGGTTGCTGCAATTAAATGTTTTGCGAAGATTCGATAGATCTCTAACCTAACAAGCCTTTTGTTGATTGAATGTATTATATATATATATGTGTGTGTGCGTCTGTGTATGCATTTTGATGTAATGTGTATTTTGATGCGTGTTTGATATTTATTGGTAGTAATCTTTTACGGATCTCTGTTTCTCATGCTCTATACAGAGCTTGATTTTTGTAATTGTAATGTGTAGATTGATGTGTGTTTGATATTGATATATGCAGAGATTTAATTGTTGTTGTACGTGATAAAATGTCGAACTACGTGGGAATTGTTGTCTCTGATCCTTGGCTTCAGAGCCAATTTACGCAAGCTGAGCTGCGAGGACTTCAATCCAAGGTGAATTTTTAGTGCATTCTCTGGATTATCAATAAAGAAAGAAAGAAAGAAAGAAAGCTTTGCATAATTTGTTTGAATTTATTTTACAGTTTTACTCAGCAAGAAATGGAGCTGGGATTGTAACATTGGGTGCATTACCACCAGTTATGACACAATTGAAATCCATTAATGGTGTCTTAGATGTGGACGAGGTTAAGGGTATATTGAGCGAGACATCTACCGACTGGGAACAGGAGATTGATTTTGAATCTTTCCTTCGGGTTTGTGAAACTTCATTTCCTCCCGGTGTGTTCTATTTAGTATTATAATTAATTAAAAGTATGCCACAAATTCAATTTAGCACCTCTAATATATAAAAATAGCACGTCGTCTGTATAATAAAGACATATATTGTTAGTTCATATTTATAAATGTTATAAGTGTGATGTATAACAATATATGGTGTGTTGAAACTAACTATTATTTGTGTTGTGTAAGACTACAATATGTGCCGTTAGTTTATGTGTTGTTGGTTCATAATTATAAGTATATTGTATAACAGTACGTTGTGTGCTGTATAGCAGTATTTATTGTGCTGAAATCAAATGTTGTTTGCGTTGTATAAGACTATAGCCTCTGCTATTAGTTTATGTGTTGTATTTGTATTATATGAATACATACGATGTGCTGCCTGTAGCAATACCATGTGCTGCGGAGTGCTGTAAGTATGGTGCTGAATTTTAAAGTTCAGCACCGTAGTCGCCACCTTGATGGTAATATATATATATGATAGTTGAAAATATCTTATCCGAAAAGGATAATCGATGGTACATTTATATTTGATGTTTTGCAGGCATATTTGAACCTACAAGCTCGAGCAACAGCAAAAACTGGCGGTTCTAAACCTAAGTCTTCGTTCCGCTCAACTTCATTCCTCAAAGCAACTACGACCACACTTCGTCACACAATAAGTGAATCTGAAAGGGCGTCTTATGTTAACCACATCAACAAATTTCTCGGTGAAGATCCATTTTTACAGAAATATTTACCCATTGATCCCTCAACCAATGCACTTTTTGATTTAGCAAAGGACGGCGTGCTCTTATGGTACCACTAACTCATCCCAATAATTAATTTTTATCAGTAGACTGGAATATTATTTTGCAATTGATGATCCATTTATTCGATTTCCATGTGTTTTCAGCAAGCTTATCAATGTTGCTGTACCCGCAACTATAGATGAGAGAGCTATAAATACTAAGGCGGTGATGAATCCGTGGGAAAGAAATGAAAATCATACTCTATGCCTCAATTCGGCCAAGGCAATCGGATGCACTGTGGTAAACATCGGCACACAAGATTTGGTGGAAGGCAGAGTAAGCTAGTTCATATATATAGTATTTATATCATTTAATTTTTTACCAATAAATGGTACTTTGTTCATGAAGCTAATGGCAAAACTCTTATTATTATTATTATTATTATTGTTCGAATTCGACAGCCCCATCTTGTCCTCGGGCTGATTTCTCAGATAATTAAGGTAAATTGTGCGAACCATTCTATACTATTATGGTTTACACTGTGGGTACTTAAGTAAGTGCATTTTTTACTTCATATTGCCATCGATACTCGTAGATACAATTGTTAGCTGATCTGAACTTGAAGAAAACACCCGAACTCGTCGAATTGGTGGATGATAGCAAGGTGACAACTTTGTACATGGTTAAGATAAAGAGTATCTATATGGATCATTATTTAGAAATCTTATTATTATTAGTTCTACACAATTGCAGGATGTGGAAGAGCTTATTGGCTTAGCCCCTGACAAAATTTTACTAAAATGGATGAATTTTCATTTGAAGAAGGCAGGGTATAAGAAGCAGATTACCAATTTTGGGTCTGATCTAAAGGTAAAATCGATATCAAATATCATATGAATATTTCTTTCTTTGTTTTCATCTAGTTTTTAGGCTATGTTTATTTGTGAAATTTAGATTTCGAGTTTATATTTTAAATATTAAAATGTTGAATTGAATTAAATAAATATTGATTTGAATGTAAAATTAATGTATGTAATATAAAGAATTTAAAAATTTAATTTAATATTTAAAAATATCTATTGTGATTTCAAATAAGCTTGTAAGGGTCGGTTATTTTGTGATTTCAAACAGAAATCAATACTATTTATTTTGCATAGTTTCCAATAAGACATACTATTTTTTCTCATAAAATATCACATAAAAAGACTATTAAACAAAAACTCAAATCTAACATCCTATTTCAAATAAATTTCAAACCACAACCAACTAAACAAACAAGGTTGGTAAGAAAAGGGAACTAGGATTGATATTGAGTCTGTATACTTGTAAGGTTTTTACACTGATTTTACTATTCAAATTTTTTTTCCCCTCAAAAAAACATCAAATCCAACCCCTATTATTTATTTATTATATTATACAAAATTATCATTTTACATTCAAAATATCACATCAATACATATTTATATCACATCAAATAATTATTTCAATTCAAGATTTTACTATTCAAAACCAAAATCCAAAATCAAAATCTTACAAGTAAACACACAACTCCTACAATGTTGGTTTGTTTTTTTTATACCAATTTTCCTATGGTTATTGAATCATTGTTCAATGAATGATGTCTAAACAAAATTGAAATACCTGTGAACACATTGCTATCATTTATAATAAATTTCAGACTTTTTCCAAATCACTCCCTATAAACAATAATTTACAAGAAGCTTCCCATAAAATACAACCTTCTCTATCAGAAGATAAAGCTGTATATTATGCAAGACATAAAAGTTCCGAGCTATAGTTTTCTCATCTATTTTCAGAATATCATTGCAATAATACATTAGCTATAGCATCTTGTACTTCTAGAAAAAGTTTAAATCAATACTTCAGTATGGCGAAGAGGCAGCCAGTTAAGATCGAACAAATATAATGATGCTATCATGATTCGAAAGAACACACCCACGATAAGTGTTTTAAAAATATACGTTCCCCAAAAGTATTACCAAGAAAATACAATACATACATGTAACAATAAAAACCAGCAAAAACATATAAAACATTATGCATTATAATACTTTCACAATTCTCTATGCGTCACAACAAAAACACCTAAAACTATAAAAAAAAATAAAATTAAATTAAATTAAACATACTAAATTGGTTTTCCCGCTTTACCATTTCCCTTTCGTCACTTCCTCACAAAATTTGTTCAGTTGTTCTTTAATAACATCTTATTCTCTTGCTATAATTGGGGAAATAATGGTTCATTTTAGTGGTTATTCTTGGAGGTAATCAAATACACATTTCTTGTATAAAATATTATTGCAATACAGGATGGAGAAGCTTACGCATACTTGCTTAATACTCTTGCCCCCGAACATGGCTCGAATGCAATACTGGAAACAAACGATCCTGTGAAAAGAGCAAACTTGATTCTTGAGCAAGCTGAAAGAATGGACTGCAAAGGATATGTTACTTCACAGGACATTGTTGAGGGACAGTCGAACTTAAATCTTGCATTTGTTGCACAAGTATTTCAACACAGGTTAGACTGGTTGCTAATTTTGCAGTCATTCATTATACATGCAGAAGATGTTTATTTATCATTTTTCGAAATAATTTCTGATTGTTCATTTCACTATATGGAAAGTAAATAATAGTGATAAAGTGGTAACATCAAAGATTTCACTAATAAGGTATGCATAGAGATAAAAGATACATATATAAGTAATATTTTTCTACAATTTTTTCTATTAAAAATATACTCCTTCTGTCATTTAAATATACGCAAGAAGTACAAAAAGTAATATAATTTTTTATTAGGAAAAAGAAACAAAAACATTTTGTTAATCACAGTATAAAAAAAAAAAAAAAAAAAAAGTGAACATAAATTTAATTGAAAGAAAGAATATTATTTTTAACTTATGCTTCAGTTGTCTCTAGAACAATGTGAAAACCATTCTACCACAAATAAAACTTTTTATTGCTGTATACATGTGGTTAGAAGCAACTTTAGCACGATCACTATTATTACTTACTGCAGTTTTTTTAGATTTGAAATTATGATTTTCTGAATAAAACCCTTTGTTAGCCCCTACAGAGAGTGTAAATCATGTCATTGTCAAAGGCGTTGCACGCACACAAACATATAAAATTGATTCAAAACATTAGTAGAACTTAAAACCAAAAAGGCCTGCTACACATGCATCTTCTAACACGACAATTTCTATAGATCGAAAACTTAGATTGGTTTTTGTACCCTGTCTCTGTTGAGGTGCAAACGAAGGACATATCTATCACATGTGCAAACAATCGATTCATAGGGTAAGCCATTTGGGGCTGTTAACTAGGGTTCTTAACTATGGCTTCTTCTTTGCAATGTGTTCTACTTCATCATAAAAGTTTAGACTATTTAAACTCATACAGGCAGGAAAATTACTACAGAATTTCAGTGTGGTGCAGAACCATCGATTTCCTCAACTAGTTCATATGGTGGTCCTTCCAAATTAGCACTCATAAATCTTATCATATTGTTTCTTGAACAGGAGTGATCCTTTCTTTGAAATCCATGAAGTTCTTAAAGCTTTTTTATTATCTTTGATGGTTTTCTTTTTTTTGGGAGAAAAAGAGATTTGATTTGTATGAGAATATGGAGTGTAGAGAGAACTTTACTGGGAAAAATTTTATGGGAGCAACCATAAAAACTGATCATAACGAAACTGGAAAATCAGCATGCCCTGAAGCAATGGGCGTAACCAAAACCATGTTCATGTGTGTGTTTCTTTCATAATTGGGGAAAATGTTAGAAAGGCTAGTTTCGCTTATCTTTTCTAGTATCAGTAGTGATGCACTTCTGAATATATCTTATTACATTTTAACATTCGTCACATGACCATTTTTAAATTGTTTCTCAGAAATGGATTATCTACAGACAATACGAAGATTTCTTTTGCTGAAATGATGACAGATGATGCTGAAACATCAAAGGAAGAGAGAATGTTCCGGCTGTGGATCAACAGCCTTGGAATTGAGTCTCATGTCAACAATCTATTTGAGGATGTTAGAACAGGGTGAGGTTTTCCCCTTTTCGTTGTTATAACGGGAAGTTCAGTTTCAATTATCTATTGTAAACCATATTACTTGTTAAATAAAATGAGACATAATACATGCATATTAAAAATAAATAAATGAAAACTATACGATTCCTAATTATTACATTCAATGGTTTTTATTTATGTTTGTTCTTCCGAGCATGTAGATGGGTGCTTTTGGAAGTGTTGGATAAGGTTTCTCCTGGGTGTGTAAACTGGAAATTGGCTACAAAACCTCCAATTAAGATGCCTTTTCGGAAAGTTGAGAATTGCAACCAAGTCATCAGTATTGGTGCAGACTTGAATTTCTCTCTTGTGAATGTTGCTGGAAATGATTTGGTCCAGGGAAATAAGAAGCTCATAATAGGTAAGATGCATACACCTGATATAGTTTATTTAAATGCATTGGAAAATGCTGTTTTAACTTTTCTATTGATCCATATTGTAGAGTTGGATAAAACGTTTCATTTCTTACATGTTAAGAATATTACTAAAGTTTTATCAATCTATAGATGTTTTTCTAAAAATAAACGGGCTGGTTAGTGTACTGATTACTGAAGCTATGTGTTGCAAGTTCACATTTTTATTTGTGTGCTGGTTTTTATATATCGTATGTATTAAGTTCAATGACAATATAGTGTCATGTGTTGTTAGTTCATATGTTTCTTGTATTATGTTAACACATACCTTGTGCTATCTATTAAAAGGTCTTTGACATTTAACCACAAAGAGGCATCAAGATTTGATTCGACTATGATCGTCTTTCACAAATCAACTTAGAAAATTACATTACAATATTCGATTTGATTGGATTTGTCTATCTACAAAAAGAATAATAAGAAGAATGTCAGAAAGTGGTGGATAAAGAACATTCTTTGAAAGAATCTTCTGAATAATTTCTGCCTTAAGACTAGAATGCATTCCTAAAGTCTCAAATGTATTGTTTGTGTAAACATGTTATACTATATTTCGATGTCTATTCAGGGTACCTAATTTATGTCTACTGTTTGTTTTTCTCCAAGCCTTTCTGTGGCAGCTAATGAGGTATGCTATGCTCCAATTGTTGAAGAACTTGAGATCTCATAACCAGAGTCGGAAGGAAATAACAGATACCGACATACTCAATTGGGCAAACAATAAAGTTAGGAGGTCTGGTAGAACTTCTCAAATGGAAAACTTCAAGGTATGTGCTAGCCTAGCTCATTTATTTAGTAATGCAAAGATCTGCTCTATGCTGATTCTAACTTTTTTATATCATCAGGATAAAACGCTCTCAAGTGGCGTTTTCTTTCTTGAACTGCTAAGCGCCGTAGAACCTAGGGTGGTTAACTGGAGCCTTGTCACAAAAGGCGAAACTGGTATGCTACCTCTAATTTTCCACATGTTCTATTATTTGTATTTTGTCAAGAAAATAATAAATGATGTAACTAATATTTTCATATTGTACAACCGATCTGTAATATCTTATTCATGTTTACAACTAATAGGGAGCATCTTATAGGTGCATTTCATATGTGTTTACATTAAATCAGTTATTTAATCCAATTAAATAAAACCATTTGGGAACTTTGCTCACATTAAATCAGATGTTTTATCCATTGAAATAAAAACATTTGGGAAGTAACATAGTTTCCCCTTAGTTCCAATGCTTTATTGAACTATTCATTTGTGTTTTACATTGCACCTATTTAATCTGCTGTTAACTGAAATTTGGTGATTTTTTTTTTTTTAAATTACAGATGAAGATAAGAAGTTAAATGCAACATATATAATCAGTGTTGCCCGAAAGCTGGGATGCACAGTATTTTTATTACCTGAAGATATAATTGAGGTATGTTTTCAGACAGCATTCACAGGCTTTTAAAACTCAAGTTATCTTTAATTATGTAGCTACTTGAAAAAATTAAACTGAACCAAAATAAAATAGAAGGATATTTCGACTGTCTTGTGGTACGATCCTCTTCTATGATTTCTTTCTTACTACATGTTATCTAGTTTGGTAAATTCTAAAAGAAAGACAAATGTGTGCTATGTATAAAGAGCGGAAGAGTATTAAGTTTAGATTTCATGTCTTGCATTTTATGTATTTCTTTTGGATCAAGGGATAAACTCGACTATAAAACCTTTTCAAACCCGTCTTGCAACTAGTTTAAAACATTAAAACACATATAAATGGCAGTTCAAGCAATATACTTCTTTTTTTGTCCCTCAAGAAGTTTGAAAGAGGTAGACAAGGGATCTTACTTTTGATGGTTTCTCCAACCCATACATGTAGAGCTGTAAACGGAGAGGATTCCTTTTGTATGACTATCAAGGCTATTATCTATCTCGAGCATCACGTACTATCGAACAGCTAGATTGAATTTGTATGTTTTTCATCTTGATTAGGTAGTGATGTTCGATTTTCACTTTATAAATCTACTGTGGTTGTTGATTCAAAAGCTTTATCTAGTTTAAACCATTTTCAGCATATGCACTTCACTTAAACAGATCATTTCAAACATGAACTAATTAGTAATTCAGCATCCATACCTTATACGTGCTCTCTTGTCTATATCTCGTGGTGACAGGTGAACCCGAAAATGATGCTCATCCTAACAGCAACTATCATGTTCTGGAGCCTGCAAAGGAAAACAGGAGCTTACGATCTGGAGGCAGAGCTGGCTCCTCCTCCTCCAGTAGATGAAGTATCTAATTTGTCGGTTGAGGAGAATGCTCCTGCACCGGAAGCTACCAACAATGAAGAAGAACCTTCTTCATAATCGCAAGGACTTCAACTTTTATTCACAACACCAATCAGAGTATAAGGTAAGAGATCACTACATAAAATCTTAAATACAATTGTATGTGACTAATTCTTATCCTCTAATGGCAGCATCAAGAAACAATATATACATACATATATATATATATTTGTTTTTCCAGAAATACACAAATTATGATGGAGCTGCACGGAGACGGCACATCTATATTTACAGCTTAAAGAAGGCCAAGTAAAGTTTTCTTATATTAGAAAAATAATATTATAACTCTTATCTTAATGAGTGTAAAATTTTGGTCCAATAATTTTGTAGTCTTTGAGTACCCTTCCTTAGACTTTTCTTGGGGTAAAATTCATCTACACTTTTAGAGATATTTGTCCCAATAATATATCTACATATATTTGGAGAGAACTTTTCCCCATAATTGTAGCTACTCTTTTGTGTTTGTAGCCAAATTATATTGCTAGATTATTGGATTTATGTTTTTTGGACAGGAATGTATTCTTTCAGTGTTTTAAATTTTGTATTTCAACATGAGATAACATTGTATCAACGGAGCTAACATGGCTTGCTGATATGGATTCTTTCCAGTGTTAATGTTGCAAGTGATATCAGTTCTGATAATGCCACGTCAACTCACATGACAAGGGACTAAAACAAATTTGAACTAGTTTAACTAATTTATCATGTTTTTCAAATAAAGAACATAATAACAAATCTTTAAAGTACCTTAGCAAGATTGCAGTAGTGATTTATAAAAAATTATATCTATAATAATATATAATATGGCAATTCTCTAGTTTATAACAATAAAATAGAATATAGCTTAGATAAAGCCAAATTATATTTTGTTGGGTTATGTTTTCCTTTTTCCATTTCTAGGAACTTAGCCAGGTTCAACTAATTTTCATTTTCTATATTATATGTAAAATTCATTTTTCTTATTCAAAAGTCAAAACATCACATCAAATAAATATTTCAATACAATCTCCTATTTATAGATACAGTGTCGGGCCACATCGTACAACAAATATCACTAAAATGAATATCCTTCAAATCATAATTAAATCTAAAGGCACTGCATGAATGAAAATCCAGATAGGCAATGGAATATTCAGAATTTAAATAATAACATCAATTCACAATTACAACAACAATATACATACATGTATGTCTAAATATAGCATCAATTGTTTTCTATCCTCCGTACATTCACATTTATTTAACCTACATAATATATTTTTCCCTTTCAAATCATCATATTCAACACTTTCTTTTCCATTAAAACAAATTCGAGTTGTAACCCACCAAATACATACAAAGCACAAACAAATACATACAAAGCACAAACAAATACATATTCCTATGTAACATACCTACAATCACTAACAAAATAAGAAAGTAGGTACCATTTTTCCAACCTCTACACAATGCCAACATATTGTATTTATAACAATTATTCATGTATGTAACATTCGCCTAGAAGACGGAACTAGAGCAAGAGCGAGCATGTGAATTGTTATCAAGAAACCGGTATATACGAACCAAAAATATATGAAGTCTTTTATCCGAGAGAAACAGGCCCGAACACTTAGTTATTTTTTAGACAAAAATCTAATTGCTATCGCAATGCATATTTTGCTCGACTACAAGAATGAACAAGATATCAATCTACCCTTCAAGTTCCCCCGGCTTCATCACATCATAGGAAGGAAAGATAGTTCCATTAGAGGAATCGAGAGTACCTTCAGATTCAGGAGATTTCTCCTGTTCAGCCACAAGCATTAGTATCTCAAGACGCTTGTCGAAGATCAGCGCACTTTCATCTCTCCTGTCAAGCTCTGCGCCTTCAGCTTCGAGCCATTTTTCACGTAAATCGTCTAGAAGGTTTCCTTCTGTTTGATTTGTCTCAGCACCTGGGGCACTCGGAGCTGTTGTCCGAAATGATGAATCTCCAGATGGAGGAGGGAGAGTCAAAAGCATTGCCCGGAACTGTGGAGTAGCAGCGAATGTCTCAAAGTTGCATGCCATTAAGTCCAGGCAGTACTCACGAATCTTTGAGACACCATACCTTTAGAAATAAAGAAATCTGAATTTGAAAAAATTCTAGATACAAGCATTGAACCACAAAGCGGTATTAATATCATGTGTCTCATCTTAGATCATCAATGAATTAGGAATACCTGAAATTCAGGCAAAACAACTTGTAGGGAAGAAATCCTAAGGGTGTGTTCTTTTATCAAGCTTCCTCAGAATTCTATTATTCACAAAAAAATTTTACCCTAAAAACATCAAATCAAACATCTTTTTTCAGTCTTTATATTATACTAAAAATTAATTTTACGTTCAAAACATCACATCAACACTCATTTATATCACATCATACAACTATTTCAATTCAAAATTTTTACTGTTCAAATCCCAACCAACAATCCAAACTCTCAAACAAACACACCCTAAGACTTTCTATCATCTAGGAATGAACAAATGATATCGACCAGTAACTAAATTAAGCGAAACTAGATTAACAGGAGCTGAAAAACACAGGATAGAGCATGTAAATGTAATATGAGGTTCCAAGCACAAAGACTCACACCTGCACATAATATTTTCATATCTTGTTAGTTACCGAGAAGAACCTGCGTCACTTAAAGGCCTTAAAGCTACATGAGACGCACAAGGATAGAAATCCACGAACTATAGCCACTGCTCACAAAATGTAAGGGTGTGTTTATTTTTCTATCTTGTTCTAGCGCTATGCAATCAATAATAAGAACATACCCATTCTAAAACATCATGCGCACAACTTATTTTTTATTCGAAAATTTTCAAATCCAAAACATCTAAAAATTACGAACAAACACAACTTTATCATCCATCATCTATTGATTGAAGTATGTGTGCGTGTGTGTGTGTGTCATTTGTTTTGAAAAATTTCAAAACATTTCTTACAATCATCATTCAGATGCAGGCATCATACATTCAGAATCTTCTGGAAGAATTTCTCTAAAAGATAATTTTTTGTGGCAGACCGGGAATGTGTTCCGCAAAAGGGCTAGTTTCTAGGAATATTTTCACTAGAATCAATGCTAAAACTATTTGTAGAAGGCAGATAAGAAGGGTTAAAATTTCATGGCAGTCAAAGCTTGTCAGAATCATTAAGACCTTAGAATCCAGTCGTAATTATAAGCTAAAGTTGTACTAAACTTAATGCTCCTGGCATGGGCCTTGGCTTTAAACTTTATACTTCTTTCTTTAATGTCCAAATCAAACATTACTTACTGACTATCATCATATAAAGGAAGTTTAAGCCAACCTATTCAGAAGAAAAGCTATTCTATCGACATCGTAAAATAAATTTCCACGCAACAAAGATTTGTTTGCAGTTCATGATCTAAGTCCTTGTGATATTACAACCTGACCTTTCACATATAAATTCAGTTCTAGTGGAAGTTGAGTATCTAGGTAGTCCTCTCTACCTACACGACATATCACCGTTAAGTTCTTCCTATCAATTGACACAACGCCTTGCTACTTTTAACCAAGTCAATCTCGCGGGTTGCCCATAGTTACTAAACCCATAACTAATAAATATTGTGCCTACCACTGATTTAATACAAATGGCAACGAAAATAGAGAAAATATTGACAAGCAAGAGGATTCATAAATCATACATGTCAGACAACAGCAACCAATGACACAGTTCTGCAGGAGAAACCATTTCGAGTTGTGGTAGAAGAGCGTCAGCTACAGCTCGTTTGAGAGGAAATAATAGATATCTCGAAGCAGCATCAAACATTTCTTCAGCCTGCATAATCAAATATTCAGTAAAATTGAAATATATGACAAGAAGAAAAAGGGGTGTAGGCGAATAAGCATACCTGATCAGGATCTATGTCTGTGAGTGTATCAGTATACCTGAACCAAAGAAAATACATCGTTATATTAGAATATGAAGTAGAGTTACTATTTTCTGGAACTAATTCCACACCATCAAGAGCATATTATTAAGTTAAATTAGATTAAAGAGAGAAAAAAAAAAAAAAAAGTAAGGAAAAGGGACGATAGAATGATGTAGATGCTATTAAAATTCATTAGCAAAGGAGAAAAGGCTTTAAACCCATTTTTAAATTTATCTCATCAAATGATATGTGGTCATACCATTCGGCATCCTTTTTCTTTAGAATGATGTAGAAGACTGAGAAGAAAAAGGAGAGAAAGGAAAGCTCACATGAATTCTATCATCTTATGAAATGCCTCGGCACTTAGATCACGTTCCTCCAGACACAGAAGAGTATTATTCGGTAAAGAATCTCTTCCTTCAAGAAAATCCTTCATCCGGGCTAATCTAGCCTTAAAGTATTCAGATCTCGAAGCTAAGATAACTTGGTGGCATCGGAATATCTTCTTCTCAATCCTCACACATATATCAGCCAGATCATCTTCTAAATTGCTCATCTCCAATGAATCAACAAGAGATAAAGCACCATCAATACCATCCTCAAGGTCCTGTTCCCTCGATGAATCTGTGAGAGAGATATTGAGCACTCGCCTTAACGCAGCCGGGAGACGATCTTCTCCGGGAAGGGACGAGCCCTGCAAGATAAACCTCTTCTGAGAGTTGTCTATATCTCTAAGGGATTTGTATTCGGCATGCCTTTGATGAACTATCTCTTTCTCAAGAAGAATTTGCAGAGATTGACACTTGCAGACTCGGCAAATTCTTACAAGATCTTCCATGTCATCAACAGCAACTTCTAGCCTATCCGAATAAAAGAAGTGGACTAGGCTAAAAAGCGAGGAATAAGTAAGCCTTTCCCGGGAAAACCGCACTTCCTTTTTCTCTTTCCAATCAGTCTTCAATTTTTTCTTGAAGAAGGGAGATCGTGCAGCTAATATCACTCTGTGAGCTTCAAGAGGTCTCCCTTGCACATAAAATACAATATCAGGTGGACAGTAGCTGGAACTTGACTCTCCGTTCGATGGATTACCTACTGTTCCATGCCGAATCACCATGTAAGCATTCTAGCTTTCTTAATTATGAGAACAAATATATTCTTCAATTCCCAAGCTTGGATGGTATTAATGGGAAAATCGATGCCCTCAATTCAACCGTACTCCAAAGCACATATATGTAGAGATGTATCTAGGAGCCAAAATTACAGACGAATGAAATGAGGGTGGGTAAATACTGAATGTAAGGTTACCACATTTGCTCTGTTTTACAACTTGAAGCAATACTCTAAGGCCATGCTTGTTAGGTGGATTTGAACTTAATGGATTTCAAATTACTTCCATTGGAAGTTTGATGGATTTCAAATTCATCAACATTTACAAATCCTTTTGACACTATTCACATTCTTCCTAAAACGCTAATGTCGAAAACTTCCTAAATCCTAACACGACCAAACAACAATCATATTATGTCCGATCAAATTAATTTAAGACCTCATTTGGTTGGAGTAATTTGAACTAAAATGATTTCAAATGATTCTCTCAAATACATTTATCTTGTTTTGAAATACAAGAATAGATTTCAAATCTATGAAGCTAAAAAAATGTATTTCAAATTCTCCGCTCTTAACATTTCAAATACTGTTAAATTCTAATACTAAGCCATTTCAAATACTTCCAAATACCAAACAACACATTTAAATTCTAAAGCATTTCAAATGCATAGTAATTCAAATCAATTTATTTAAAATCCCTCATCAAATCCAAATCCATCATACTGAAGGGCCGTAAATTCATTTAAGAAATGAGAATACTTCAAATCCATTCATTTCAAGTTCACTTTCAAATCCAAATCCACTAAACAGAACATGGCCTACTTTATAGTTTAGAAGATATATATATATATATACATAATTATTCTTCAATCATGGAAAAGAAAAATAAGAAGAAAGAACCTACTTGGCAAAACAGAATTGAGATGACTGTTGGCGCCGAAGGCATTGGATTGGTCATTGATATATGCTTGATTGGCCGTACATGACAAAAAGGTGTCTCTTAGCGCCGCCTGCAGCGGCTGGAGCGGCGGCGGTCGCGCCTCGAAGGCCTTGAGCAGCTTCCGGACCTTGAGATTGAGCGCAGCGTAGTGACAGCGGTCGCCGTCGAAGGTGTGCTCGGAGCATATAGCGCCGCTCTCGAGCAGCATCCGCGCGGCGTCGAGGTGGCCGGCGAGGCAGGCGTAGTAGAGCGCGACGGAATCCCATTGGTCGCGCGCGTTGACGTTGACGCCGGATTCCAATAGATAGCGTAGGCGGTCGACGTCGCCGGCGCGCGAGGCCTCGAAAACGTCGCCGTATGGAACCTTCTTGAGCGGCAAGGAAGAGTGGAAATCCTCGGCCTCTAGCTCAATCTCGTCGAGCTCCGACATGGCGGCGGATGAAACCCTTTCGCTCTTCTTCTTCGCTCTGAAATGTTTACTTTTTCCGTACTTTCGCTGTGGTCGGGTCGGACGAGTAAACTACTCAAAATTTATTTTTAGGCAATGTTAGCTGTGGATATGTTGTTCGTGTGCCTTCTCATTTATTTATTTATTTATTTTTTGTCGGTACAAGTTTACGGGTGTGTTTGTTTTTGTTTTTGGTTTTTTTTGGAGGTGTATATTTCTTTATAAATAAAATATATGGTTACTTTGATTTAAGTGGCCCTAACATAAAATACATGTAAGTTCAGTTCCACAGTTATCATACTGCACTCTCTATTTTTGTAAAATGTATACCAATAGTTTTCTACTGTTCATTTTGTCTCTGAATAATGAATTTATGTAATAAATATATTATATATTTATTTTCAAGTAAATCTATATTATTCACTTACTTACTCGGGTCCGTTCCTGATATTTTTTTTGGCCCGGGACAAAATTGAAATAGTAGGCCCCTAAATATATATTTTTATATTAGCATAATAATAAAAATAATTTTACATCTTTTTAATGTAAATGTTAAAATAAAATTAATTTTTTTATATTGAAAGATCAAAATATGAATAAAATTAATGTGACATTTTTTAGTTTAATATAAAATATCCAAAAAGTATATATGATTTAATATTTTTTAAAGAAAATTTTTTATAAATAGTCAAAATCTTTTCAAAGAAATTTTCAAACAAAAGTATTATTTAGGTTGTTTTGTTTTGTATTTTGGTTTGATTAAAATTTTTTGATATAAAGTATAACAAATTATGTAAATAATAAAAAAATAATTGACTCTGATTACTTGTAAGATTTTACTTTTGATTTTACTATTTTAATTTTATTTTCCCTTCAAAAACATCAAATCAAACACTCAATTTTTATTTATTTTATTATATAAAAATCTAATTTTATATTCAAAACATTACATTAATACATATTTATATCACATCAAATATCTATTTCAATTCCAAATTTTACTATTCAAAATCAAAACCCCTCAAGTATTATATTAGTTTTTTTGAAAAATGTACTGAAAAATTTTTGGTAAAAAAATAAACCTAGTATATAATACACAATTTTTAAAAAAATATCACCAAAACATATAATAGAATATACAAATTTAAATATATAACCATAAAAATAAAAATATAAAAAACACACAAAATATTATTCTCTATCATGTCTTCGTAATTTTACATAATTTACAAAAAAAAATATATAAAATTATACAATTAAATAAACACACTAAAACATATAATTAAAAAATTAATATAAACATAAATTATTTAAAAAATAATATGAAATAAATTTTTTATTTAAAAATTAATTTTATTTATTCTTTAAAATATTTAAAAATAATAGTATATATTTATATATTAAGAACATATATATAATTGGGTGCTCCTATGGCCCCTAAAAAAAATGGGTCCTGGACAAGGGCCCATATGGCCTTGGCCCAGGGCCGGGCCTGTACTTATTCTAAAATGGTCGTCTTATACAAATTTAATTGCAAAGTGATGTACTTTAATTTATTATTTATATACTATAATTGTTATAAAATAAAATATACAAAAAATATTTGAACCTAAAAATACACTTGATCTTAATAACTTTTTTTTTTTTCATAAGCCTTTCTCCTCCCATTTTTCGTTCGTTGCTCCGGCTGTAATTCTTGAAATCATCACCGTCACTGCATTAAAAGTTTTTTTAGATAAAAGACCAACCGAGATGATGAAATATAAGTGCACAGTTTGTTCAAAATATCGATGAGGGTCTCCTTTCTCAAACAAAGTTCAAGAATTAAGTTAAAATTCTTGTATTTGAAAATATCGATATTTTAGTTTTATGCTTTCAAATTTGTAATATACTCTAATTTCTTTGTCTTGTGTCTTTAGTTGATTTGTATAAGTTTATGTGCCAGTCGACTTACTTCAACATTGAAACCCACCATTGTTTCAAATATATGTTATTTTGATGTATTTTAAATTATAAATAACATTATTGTATATATAAGTATCTTCATTTTCATCTTGCTAAGTTTAATTTTATAGTATATAGTTGCGATATGAGGTGGGTAGAGTTCGATTTTTTTTTTTTCCAAATACTTTTGGTGCCAAATTTCTCATGTGAAGTATCTTTTTAAGTACTTTAGGTGTTTGTTGACATATTTATCATATTGTTAGTTGTTCATGTATCTATTTTTTCATTTATAAAAATTCTGTTTGTTTTAACTATTGTGTGTTAATAATACCTCCAAATACTTTTGGTTACAACAAATTGTATAATATGTGCTCTTATTTTCAATTGACGTTCCTCTATAAGAAAGTTATATACCTATATATATGTCATAAAATTGAATTGGTGTTGTATATACTTTTCTAGAATTATGTCTTTATTTTAAATATTGTGAGGCTCAATGTGAGAGATATGATTGTGGGTCACTAGTGTGTATGTTCCCTGAGAGTTACGTTTTATGCAACACGAAAACCTACCTGCTTAGCAGATAAGCTACCGAATTCAACGATGTCAAAATATGTCGAGCAAAAAGTATTGTGAATATTTTATCAAGAGACCTTAGAGAGGTTGTCTAGTATCATTTATCGAATTTATATGTTAATTTTTATGCATAAATTGGGAACAAATTGAGGTTTAAAGCGTAGTCATATTGGGGTACTTAATCATTGATGTTATATTTTGTGAAAAACTTTAAGAATTATCATAATTTCTAATTTAACATATGACATATTCGGTTCTCCATAAGTATGAATCTTGGTATTGGAGGTACGTACACACAAAATTATGAAATATACTTCGGTGCGCAAAATTTTATGATTGAGTGTGGAGAAACTCCGAAATTTGAACAACATATCCCCAATGAATGAGAAAAATTTGTTAATCTGAAGCATGATGCCATTTCAGCTTAGTTGTTTACATTTGTATAAACTTATTTTTCATTTCAACAATACATGGGTTCTCTGCCCCTGCGGGGATGGAGCGACAGAAGTCTTATATGTTACTCATTTAACTAACTTATATACTTCTGACACGAATGCATGTACTTCTATTAAGGAATAAGCTTTATAAATAACTACATAGATATTCGACATGTAATGAAAAGATGTATACTCACCATATTGTCCTGAAAGCACCGATGAACACGTTCAATGTACACCTAAATGGCAAATGCTTACTTATAGTGTGGATAGTCCTAATTTGTCTTATGTATAATCTTTACTTCTATACCTTCTAACACATTTGTTCGTTATGGATGTTTTTCGGAGTCTACAAAATGCTGATATGGTCAAATCTCTTACTATGATCCATAATATCATATGTTAGGTCAAATTTATCGTATGACATTATCATCCACCCTTGAATACATGAACAAATAATCTTAATGATCGTTTCAATAGTATTAGTTGATAGACACCAATCTTTGATGAAATTGCAATAATATATTCAAACTATAACCATTTAAACTAGCCACAATCATGGCTAGGTGTTGAAAGACCTCTAAGTAGAAGCCACATACCCTCAATTATGAAATTTATTCCTTTATTTCACTAAGTTACATACTTCTAAATTGATTGAATGTACTCATATTGAAGAATAGGCTTTAGAAGTAATTTTTACATATTCGATGTATATTGAGAAGATATGTACTCACCAAATATTCTAAAAGCACTAATTGATACATTCCATATACACATCAATGACTAATATGTTCACCAAAGGATGAGAGGGTCCAATATATCTCATACATAACATTTACTTATTATATCTTATAACACATTTCTCCTTGTTGGGAGTTTCTTCCTACTTTAAAAAATGCTTGTACGGACAATCACAATACAAAGAACATTATATGCATAATCAGTTATGCACTAACTTCAAAATATCGATTACTATGGTTTACCACGTGATATGTTATATCATATCTATCTTAAGTGACATTTTCATCCACCCTTGAATACATGAATAGGTGATCTCATAAGTCATTTTAGAAAAATCCGTTAATGCACGCTAACTTCCGAGAAAATGGATGTGATGTAATCAACTAGTAATTATTTGATACAGTAACAATCAATGACAAATTCTGGATTGTTACTTAAATATTCATATTTACATTAATTATACCTGTATACGAATATGAATTCTTTCATACAAAAATAACGCAACCTCTTACTTGGATATGTATACCTCTAGTATTAATGAGTGTATTATCTGAACGTTACAATATATTCCTATTTTAATTGTAATAACTTCATCACAAAAATTAAATACCTGTATAAATAAATGTGATTTATGTTAATGTGATTTTAAATAAACGTTGGGGGTACACAATAGGCCATGTCATACTGTAAATAGTATTTAGGGGATATAAAAGACCTCAAGTATTACGTAGAATTTAATAAAAAAATATCATGTGCAATGTACTATCGTTATTAATACTTATTACTCATGATCATATTTATATAACTACAATGACTTGTAACGTACTTTCATTGTGAATTCACATACTTTTGTTTCTATTTTAAAATAATTAGTTTGGAATGATACGTACCCCTAACATAATAGTTGTGTACGCCTAACAATATACAAGGGAATATAATTTAATTTACAAATCATTCAATAATAGTTTCGTACACATATTTACGTTCAACGTACAATATTCCAAAAATAAAATAAAATTCTAGCAACAAGATGACAAACCAAAAATACCTACGCTATAGCCTTCTTGCAACTTTGTCGATTGTGTCCTAGACGACCACAACAACCATAACTTTTAGACTATTTCACATGATGTGATTGAAAGCACCTCTTTTTTTGCCGGCCTGGTTAGAAAAAAAAGAAAAGAAAAAAAACAATGACCTTGTTTAGCGCATTCAACACTAGGGCTGCGATTGTACAATAAGGTTTTGGGCAAATGGCATGGCCTTTGTAACATACATTATATGTTGCTCAAAATTCTTCCATAAGAGAGCATAACTGGCTTTGTTGGAAACGACGTCTATCATTTCTTGTTGTACATCAGATATCTTTACATTACTTATACGAAATATAATTACCTTGTTTTCTACATCATAATT